TAATATGGGGAAGCTACTTCGCAGGATGCGCCAGATGAGCCCGTAAGTCAAAGGGACCACGCGAGAATCGTTAGATTGGCCATTCGTGGGGCTACCTCGAAGTCTTCCCAGCGCGACCTTGGTATTGACGACCGTAACCAAAATTCATGTGCCAATGGTGTCTCGATCGGTGCCTCTTTTATTTCAACCCGCTTTCTATTAGGTCAAGCCGTCCGACGGTCCACGTGGACACGTCCATTGTGACGATACGTTTGACCCCTGCAGCTACCAAGTCGTGCTTGGTTGGTCGAGGCAGGCGACATGGAATGAGACGAACGCCGCCCTGTGATGGCCAGTAATTTGATTTGATAATCCTTTTCGACCCACATGTTAGGCAAGTCCGCCCCTACCAGTGCCTAGGAAGCTGGGAAAGAGGGCAAACCGGAAGGAGTGTCTTCGTCACAGGAACACTCCCTTCGGTTAAATTTATCACAGTAAAGAAATACTAAAGCGTTGCCAAGTCTTGAACCTTGATGGACTTGCAGACTCTTCCTCCACCACCCCTCACAGGGCGCACGCAGCATGCTAACGGCTGGTGTGCGACAAAGCAGTGTTGGGGGAGGAGCGACAGGAGCGATCGCTCCAGAGTGGAGTGACTCGCTCTGGAGTGAAGTAATAAAAGATATTAAGTTAAAAAACTAGTTATCGTTTTTTGTCTGTAAGAAATTCTTTTTCTTCATAATTTATTTGTAAAATCTTAGCTAATTCTAAAATTTAACTCCGGAGTAAAAGGAATGTCACCGGAGTGTTACTCCGCCACTCCGGAGTATAACTCATAATCCCCCATCACTGTGTAACTAAGAATATACGGATCGGCTAATGAAGTAAGGAACTGAGTCAGTATAGCGGGACGACCAACCCTTAGATTCGACTGAATGGGTTCACGCCGGAGCTGTATTTAGATTGGCGTCATGGGATAGACCGACCTCAGGTTTCTAAGAATTGATCAAAGTAACTTATCGGTAACGTGATGTATCTATCTTCGATCGATTTCGAATCTGATTTTGCAATCTTGAGCTGGGACGAGTCAACCCCATTACCGGCCAGGGCCTTTGATAGTTGAGAACTGGTAGAAGATTCACTCTCCGGGCTGGGAGATGTCTGTGGCTGAATCTCGTGCGGCGTCAGCTTTCCATGTTTCTTGCACAGAGTGTCCTCGTTCATGATCCGCTCAAGTATTGAATCCTGCTCTTGTATCTTCTGTTCCAACCTAAGGAATCTATCTTCGATCGATCTCGAATCTGGTTTTGCAATCTTGAGCTGGGACGAGTCAACCCCAGGGCTGAGAGATGTCTGTGGCTCATTCTCGTGCAGCGTCGGCTTTCCATGTTTCTTGCACAGAGTGTCAATGTCGTTGTTCGCACTTTCCTTCCCCAGCACCCTACACAGATCTGATCTAGTCAGATGGTGCAGTTCGTTGCTCCATATAATCCAGCAGTGTGTCTCTGGAGTCCTGGGACTATTTGCACCATTATGCGTCTTGTATTCGGGACTTGTCACCGCGAGTAGGCTCTCATACTTTCCGCGGTCTTTGTACGACCATTTACGCTTTTCTACCCCAGTTCCGGCAAGCTGTAGTGTTCCGGAAACCTGTTTGTACTGTTCGACTTGGCGAAGGCCAACCTCAGACCCGGACTTGATGGTCCAGACGGGGCAGCCGGCTGTTTCCTCGACCACGCAGCGGGTGCCGCTGCCACAAGGGCGCCATGCCATGATACGTTTCCCATCCTTCGAAGTGCCTGTCGCCCATGTCCACAGCTTAGTCAGTGGATCAGCCACAGCGGCCTGCGCAGTGTCTTTGCCGCCCTTTCCGCCACACTCCCGGAGGAGTTCTGTCCAGCTTTCTGGATAGGCACGGTCTTTGATGAGTTTATCGAGCATCGCAGTGGCTGCGCCGAGGGCCTCCACTCTCGTCTGGTCGTCTGAGCATTCGTCAACTTTAGCACGCGCTGTAAGGATATCGTCGATGACGTGTTTTAGATCATCGTAGCCGATAATTCCATCGGTCAGGTGCTCTTGGGGTAGCTGTGCTCTGTTGTTGTAGTAGAGAATATCTTGGTTGATTTTGTCAATCTGCAATCTTGCGCCCGCTTCTTCATCCCGCACGAATGCAAGGATATATCCATAAGCCTGGGTATGCATGCTTCTATAATGATACCCCGGGCGTGCGATAATAATTATCATGGATAATCTCGCACTTTATACGAACCAATAGATTAAGCCACTTATACTTAGCGCTGGCCATATCGTACGATATACGCCACCGTACTCACCTAACTTTAATCCTATTAAGCTTGTATGGGCGGTAATAAAGGCATGGATTCATAGGTGGTATACCTGGACACGTCAGCAATCTCGAACTTTTGAGGACTTCCTCCATATCGCCTTTACACATAGCCACGCTGATTAGTGGGCTCTACGCTTCTTTAAACATGCCGCAGATGGGTATTATATTGATGAGACGCTCCGGCAGAAGGTAGTAGCTGATTTAGAGAGGTTTGGACAAGGTAGAGGTGGTAGAGAGGTTACTGAAGTTAAGGAGATTGGGAGACTTTTCTACGAACTTATCATGTAATTCACTTATTAGTAATAAGTAAGTCGCGTAGCTAGCTAGTAATACTCTATATATATGTCCGTTTTAGGCACTAGTCGTTGAGTATATGGCTATAATATATGAATATATACTCCTAAATACACTCCAAGAAACACCATACTATCCCTATCTAAATACTAGTTATGCTAGTTATAGTAAACGCCTGGAGCGAGGACGCTGCCTCGCTTACCTTAAGTTGCTCCTTATACCCACGAAGATATAGACGTGCATCTAGTAAGATGCTAAGTGGAACACCTGCTGTCTTCGCGGCTTCATGATAAGCAGTTCTAGCCCTCGTCTTATTATGAGTCTCTATCTCTTTACGCCATTCGAGAGCTGATAGTACTACATCTGCCTGGTGACGCCCTGGTTGTGCTGGACTGCTAAAGGTTTCCACGACTCGTGTCTAAGGAGGTGTCTTACGACGAGACTCACGAGTCGGCGAGTGATTCGAACTATGAGTAGATAGTAGACGAGGCTAAGGTTAAGGAAACGTAGGTACCTGTATAGACATTATGGGGTTGAGCCCGTGACGCTGTAATTATATCTGACGGAGTAGTTAAGTATACGCGACCTTGTCTTCATTATCTCGACGACGTCTTATCGCCACCTCCTCGCGCTTAATTAACGCCTGCCTCATCTGCTCGTCTTGAAGCCTCGCATTCCGCTCCTCACGATCTAACTCAGCCTCCTCACGTCGTAATCTCTTTATTTTAAGGCGCTTAAGTATAGAGGTAGTAGCTCCGTCAACAGCAGTTGACGAGGTACTAGTTCTACTACTAGTTCGAGACTTCCTTGGGCACGGTCGAGAGATAATCTTGTGGAATGAGTCCACTGATAGCTTGTCCTTAGTTACGCCTTGAACACCGTTGATAACATCATTAGCCCATGGCTCTGAGATAGTCTTATCCACCTTATAGTGGAGTATTCCATTAGGTGATGCGATCTTCTAGTACTAGCCTTGGTAGTTTATACACGTCGCCTCACTACACCAGAGCTTACTCTGAATATTATTGATAACGACTCCTCGGTCACGGCCTCGCTGTCTTCGCTCCTCCTGCGATTTAAATAACTGTTTCGAGCGTCCCTTGAGGTTCGGATCTATAGGCGACGATACTAGACCAGCAGAAACTATACCAGTAAGTGGTGATGGCGTGGGAGACTTCGGATTAGATGCTATAGCCTTCTTACGTCCCGGTGGCTGGTAAGACTCATAGATGACAGTATCCTTAAAGGTAAGGAATACAGCCTCTAGCGGATCTTTCCTTACTAGGCTATGGATCTTATTAAGGAAGGTAAGAAGCTTATCCTAGTTAAAGAGACTCTAGTCTAGAAATGTTGACTGCTTCCTAGCACGACTAGATATCCCGAGCTTCATAGTAAAGCCTCGAGTCTTAAATAGCCAGTCATTAGTGGCGAGGGCCTCATTAATCAACCGCTGAATATCCTCCTTATATAACTCATTCTCGAACTTATACCGGGCTTCTGTCTTTAGTAACGCAGCCTTGATAATCTTCCTAAAACCATCCACTCTGAGTTGCCAATTTACGTGGATAGACTATATTATCTTATTAAGGGCCGCGTCATTATCCCAGAGGTCTCCCTCCTCTTTAACCTCATCTAAATCTCCCGCGAACTAAAGTAGATTTATCGGTATTATCGGGTATATCACGAGGTTGGCTGGAATTCCAATTCGTTGTGCAGGGATATCCTGCATGGTGTGATTTGGCAGGATAAAGCTGCTCTTGGCGGCAATCCATGCACCCATACATCGAAGCAATCTCATGCGGGAGGACTTACTTTTCATCCCGCATACGACGATCAGTAGCGCCAGTGCCGCTTTGTCGCACACCAGCCGCCAGTACACTGCGTCACTATCTTCCAACCCCATCATAACGTGCAGGTTAGACGGAACGCGCAATCGATTTACTATATGTATTTAGCAGGCTTTCGGAGATGAACTCGCTAGAGAATCAATTCTATAAATTAAGATTCTGGTGTGTTATGAGGATGAATCACTGATGGTACTGGCTCCCCTCAATGCTTGTGGTTACTTGCATTCTACATCTTTTCTCTTCTTTTCGGATGGTGTGCAACTGGAGAATTGATGTACGACAATTTTGAATACATAGGCTTGCTTTGTAAAGCTCTACATTGGCTCGAGTAATGGCCTCGTCGGGGTGCTCTCTCATCGACATCCTGGAGACAGAGAAGGGCGTCATCTTGAAGGCGTCCCTAGGGATTGTGCATCGGGCTACAATGGGATGTCGTATGAGTAATTCTGCGGGACTCACACTTCTCTGCTGTATTGATGCTATAAATCTGTATCTAGAAACTGTGAATGCCCGGACAGACAGGCTAGTCTTCTGCTGGTGGATCTGTGGGAGTGCCCGATTTCTTGATCCCGAAACGAAGCCCTCACGGCACTTGCTATCCATGAACTGGAAACCAGGGCCGGCCTACTAAATGTAGAATATAGTGCCACGCCATATTGCACGCACAGCGGACAGCTTTCGACATGCCTGCTGTTTTTGGCAACACATAGTGTGTGCCCACGGCTCTATCGACGCGCGTTTAATTTTATAATGAAGACGTCCTGATAAGGATGGGACGATAAAGCAGTGGCCTCGCTCCTTCCTCTGCTAAGCTATTACTCGGGCACGCCCTCGGAGATTCTCTATATTCGGCGAACTTCAAAGCCCCGTATTTAGTGATAGCGTAGGAGAGTCGCGATGACGAACACGTTGCTAAGGTTACTAAGGTTTCTTAGCCCACGACTCGCACTTCAAGCTGTCCTTAAAGGTAACCATAATAACCTTATCCTTGGTACTAGCGAGCGAGTGGATCTTATCTATGACTATATAGAGTCTCTCCTAGCTAATAATCGACCAGTCATTAATAGTAAGTATCCTCCTCTACTTCTTCCTTATACTAAGACTATACACGACCTAACGAGTCTCGAAGGCCTAGTCATCTATATTAAGCTTCGTATTAATTATCTTATTAATAGTACCCTTATATACCTCGCGATTAAAAGCATATCGCGGAAAAGTAGTAAGTTCATCCGCTGCCTCGTTCTTCCTATTAATACGTAATCTCTAGGATACGTGTATCTTATACGTCTCCTCTACGTCCTCTTCCTCAACCCCTATAACCTTGTCCTAACCGCTATTTATAGGATTCATAGGAAGAGATGAAGAAAGAGGAGTAGGAGGAGTAGGAGTAGAAGGAGTAGGAGGAGGAGGAGGAGGAGGAGGAGGTTTAGTCGACGCGTCTATGGCAAATTGAACGCTTTGAGTGGGTTTTTTCGACGTCGTAGGGGGCATATGGGTAGAAAAAATACGTGGAGACTCAACACCAAGTATATTAACTAATAAAACCTCATGTGGCGACGAGTGTACGACAAAATGCCAAAATATGACTGTCTCACGTAAATTTGGGTGGGGGAGACATCGCGCGACATGCGAGTGCCAAGCTCGTCAGGTTCTAGGAAAACGACGGATTCTTTGATACTCCATCGCGCCGCACCCTTTGCTCCTGTGTTATCCGGGTCTTTTCACCTGTGCCGACAGAAGTTTTCGTATCATCGCGCTGGCAACCGAGGTGAGCCCTTCTTTGCGTGCTTTCAGTCTGGTCTGTCTATTCTCTGCGATCAATACCGCTGGCTTCGCACCTGGCACGATGTGACCTTCGCATGGTTCCTGTAATGTCATATCGCTGACCCGACGGGTGATGCCGATGATGACATCATCCATTTTCTCGAGAGAAATCTTGTACGTAGCATTACTACTGTCGCCTTCCATAGCTTTGCACGGGTCAGTTATCGCATTGCCCTGAGAATCAACAATCGAAAGCTTTTTCCCCTGCGATAATGCCGTGTTGATGCTTGTCAGAGCCTGTTCTGCTTGTACTCTTCGTGTGTCGTTTTCCATCGCATGAGCATAAGCATGCAAGTTAGCAATGACTAGAAGTTCTCAGCACTACGATCTATCTGATGAAGGGTACAGTACCGTCTTCTGGGATGAGCACGCGCCAGTCTCCATTACTTAATAGCAGGACAAAGACATCGGTTTGGGAAAGGAGCATGTCTGTTTCGCAAATAATGACCTGCGTTAATATATGAGTTAGATCCAGGTGACGAGCTCTATTCATAGCGAACGTACTGTATAATTACGAACGATGACCTTCTTGATAGTCGGCATGTTACTGGTATGGCTGCTCTTCTCAGTGGACTCGAGGAGTGGATCATAAATATCCGAGAGAGTAGTGGTCGATACATCCCCAGTCATAACTAGGTCAGCTGAAACATTCGGAGGCCCAATCAATTCTTCGTTTCTGCGGAGTTGAATGGGCTGCGACCTCGTGAAGTCGTGCTTTGGGGAAACAGCTCCATTAGCAGCCCATGTGTGCTTATTGTGGTCAAAATGAAGCGCACCGTTCTCCTGAAAATGCTTAGTAGATACTTCACATGTGGACAGCGTACACTTTACAGATACCAGACGCATTCCAAGCCAGAGGATGTGCTCAATTCTTGATCTATGCGTTGAGGCAAGCTCAAGGTGTCGCTCATCCTCATCAATAAGAGTCTCAAACCAAGTGTCCGGGAAATAATTAAGGCTCCATATTTGGCCCCTAATAAGATAATCTTCCGGAAGGGGTCGCTTGTCAGCAGCATCTTGTTGCGGAAAGTCGAGTCGTTCTATAGGCAATTCTATGTTATCAGTTTTCGCGAGCGTGTTTAGGAAATCGGCAAGGGCTTCCCACGGCACATGCTCGAAGATAGCCGAGCAGTCGTAGTTAAGGGAGGAAACCCTGGTTAGAAAGACAAGCAAACAATGGATATGCGGAAAGACATTCTTGTCTCCAATGCGTTGAAGAGTCAACCTGAAAGTAGAGAACGTGATGCGTAAAGCATAAGCGAAAGTCGGTTGCGCAACAAGCTCAAGCTGACGAGCAAGGACGTCTGCCGTATCTTCCTCTGGCGGTGGCGTGATAGGTCTAACGTTATCATCGTTTGGGCCGCCTTGCGGTCGGGTGAGAGCCTCGATTTCTCTTTTAAACCTGATGTCAAAATACTTACGAAGGATGGAACCTTCTTCTCCGTGGTTAAAAAGACTGGAGATGTTTATTACAGCGACATATATGCCTTGATCTCCCCATTTTGCAGAGACCCGACCGATATGAGGGTCCAACTGGCGGAGATAATCATCAGTAGTAGCATCAAATGTCTCAAGACATTCTTTGGTAATCAGTATGCCGTGAGCCTTGATGTAAATCGTGTCAATATCGGCTGTATGCGCGTGAGCTGTATGCGTCCGGCCAAGTAATGTCATGATGATTGAATCTCGGGTACCCGTAAAAGGCTGAATACATGCAAGGGAGCGCGAATAGTGAAACAGCTGCTGTAGGGCATCTGGACGGGCGAGAATGGCCAAGTGGTGATACAAGCGACCAACGGTAGGGTTCTTGTCCACGGCTTCGCCATACCATGAACGACCGATAGCAGCCCAGGCCTCACGGTAAGGCATATCTTCGTCCTCAATGGCCATACGATACCTACTAATATCGCCAAGGTGTTCAGTCCATGTATCGCGAAAAATAGGTACTGTCTCGTGTAATAGTGCAACCATCTTATATGCGATGTGGGTATAGCATAGCATGAATTCAAGGCTTTTTGGAAGATGTTTGCGGAGTAGCTCGAGGAACGAGTGTATACCGTGCTTGCACATTCGAGCGGGCATGGAATACTTGAGAGCAAGCTGCTGAAGAGCTGGGGTTGCTGATGGATGCTGGGAGGCAAGGAAGAAGTCGTGATGCTCATAGAGCAGCATACTGTGTAGTGAAATGAGATCTTGCCAGCGCTGAGGCGTCAGCTGCTCTTGGGACGCAGCCGCTTGGGCTTTATCCTCGCTAATGCATTTGTTTTCGAGCTTTACAAGACCTGCATAGATGTTCTTTACTTTGGCCGCAAGTTGCGATGGTAAGATGGGTCTAGAGTCTGGCTGCAAGAGTAGTTTGGGTTGCCAATCATCGGCAGAAAACTCTGGGTCACCGGGCTCACTTTTTGCGATTGTGGGAGTGTCGATATCTTCTACTGCTGGTAAACTGGGCTGACGAGAACCTGGGTTTCCGGGACTTCTATTCCTGCTGAGCAGTAAGTTAGTACGAAGCCACATGGCTAGTAACACATGGCTAGTAACACATGGCTAGTAAGAGTCACACTCACGCTTTGTGCGCTGCTTCCTCGCATATCAGCCTCCGAAAAAGTGCTCTAGACGCGTGCGAGTTCACGTTTAGATTGATCAGCTGCTTTGAGTGACGGCTTTGCACATGGTCCCAGAGAGCGTTGCCCTTAAGGAATGTCTGGTCGGGACAGTAAGGACAAGCGTAGAGCTCATTGGTAGTGGCATTCTCGGGACCTTTTCTAGGCTGGATCATGGTAGTAATCAATGTAATAGAATAGTCGCGGTTGGTAATTTTAACAATTTATTGTGTTGCTAGTTATCATGAAAAAGACAGAAAGTAGTGCGGGCATAATATAAATCGAGAAAAAGGCAACAAGTCCTTCATTCTGGGTTGCACATGCACCACCCTCACCGGTCACAGGCACCTCAAAGCATGGATAGCAAGCAAGCTGGGTGGTGTGCCGACTCCGCGCAGGAACGAGTTGCCCCCCACGACAGGCTGATTCGAAACCTTCCCACATTCCCGAGTTTGATTGCCGGAAACCGGTGGCAGGTAACGCACGATTGTGAGGAATCGCTGAGACACGAGCCAACCCAGGCGTCAATCCGGATCTTGCCAGTGCACTCGGCATAGGATACTTCCGAGCCTACGCTGTCAATAATAAGTAGCTAATTGTCGTGACGTAGGACAGCTGTAGGAAGATGCAGTGGGAAGCATCGATGGATAATGCCTGATGCCACACGCCCTCTCTTGATCGCTGCAGTGATGAGAGCTACAGGGCGCGCAGGACGCCTCTCCGTATATCGACGTTTGAGGCTCAGTAAGTAGGCAACCAGCGAGCGGTGACTTAGGACAGGATCCTGCTCGCATTGGAAAGGAAACAGTTATGCATACAGATCCGATAGCGGGTACAGACACGCTAGCCCGTGGTAAAGCCGCTCTTGGCAACAATGTGTTGCCAAGAGCGGCTTTACAAACAAGGGAACCGGCTTAAGTGTACTTAGAAGAGAGCTAATCTAATTGAGAATCTCGTAAGAGAGTTGGCTCTTCGCTAATATAATTCCATGTGGCTTTACACTGCTTGTCCCCGGTCTTTCTAGTCGGATCCAGTCTCCCTTGCCGTATGTTTCCTTACGCTTTGATAGAGGCGGAAGTCGAGCTCTTCAACCACAACTCCTCGGTCTGCCTCTTGGCAGACAGCCTTACGGATAGCTTGATTGGTCAACTTATCAACACACACTGTTGTGTAATGTTAGGAAGTGCTTCACCTTCTTATGAGCAGCACTTACACGACACGATGGTACGGCCTTTGCGCTCGTGCAGCTCGTGCGCAATAACACATGGCGTATCCATAGCGCAGAAGGTCGGCGTGATCCGAAGACCAAGGCGTTTGATATCTCCCTTGACCGTTTTCCGCGATAGGAATTCGCCACAGACGAAAAGCTGTATGTTGAGGATCTGCTTCCCCGTCAGCGGAGCCTGGTTAAGCGATATTACCAAAGCTTACCATGTTGCGATCTCTTGCGAGTAAGGATTGCATAGTCTCCTGTACCCACGCCATGTGGACTGTCGCATAGGTTAGTCAGCTCGCTTTGGAGTTTCTCAACTACTGAGCGACTCATGCTCGCAATCCATTTGCCAAAACAATTTGACTCATCGCGCCTTGGCGTCGTGTGTATCGTAGTTGTCGAGCAGTTGCGCTACGTAGCCCATCTGGATGTTCTTGCTTTTAAACCATGTATATTATTGACATTTCAAGAGAATCTGTTGTGTTCTTCTAATGGCTCCTGATCCCCGAGACTGTCCTAGCTGCTCTCTTTGTAGAGAGCATGATCTGTGTATTGTTACGCTACCAAGCCTAGTATACACTCATCGTGGATTGCTTTCATAGGATGGGAAGCCACGTTGTTGCAGACGTTTGGTATCACAATTTTGCGACGACAAAATGATATTGGATCTTTCTAGGTCTCTGACAGAACCAAAGCCAGGGCATTGCAGGGGACAAGGGCATGGTAGACTCATCCGATGGGAGGCCAGTGAGCTGGCGTCCGGCGATCGAGTCGCGATAATTGACCGGTCAAGTACTTGTAACTCATTCTCTACAACAGGGGATAGTCTCATTGAACCGAGTAAGTGGCTTTATGCATAGCCAAGGATAAAAACATTGCCGGGTGCGTAGTCATGCGACTTCGGTGGACGCCAGTCACAGCATGATATTCGTGACGTGCTCGAGACCTGACTGGGAGTTTGACATTGGTTCTGATGCAAGCCCGGGGGATCCACTAGCAATGTACCTCCATCGTATGGGCAACATCAAGGAAGAGCCATCCACTAAGTCGCCGCCTGGTATCGGCTAAACTGGTAGGCCATGGATACTGAGCCATGGAATCGCAAGGACCTTACGCACAACGCACAGGCTATCCTTGCTCAACGGTTCACGCAGCGGCTCGCAGACCCATATCTTACTAGGCAGGAGAGTGAAGAGCTTCCTGCGCGCTCTCATCACTGCAAGGTATAATGCAGTTTATCGTCAAAATGCCACGCAGCGTTTCAATCTGGGAGCTTCGGTAGAGTAAAGCGTGACAAAGTTGGTTGACAGTCCTGTCTAGTCCAGCTAAGTAAGACCTGAGCAATATACATGTAGTCTGATTAGCTTGATTTAGTCCGTGTTCCCATTCATTGCTCTCACTCCGAGGCAAGTCTCTAGGCTAGCTGCGATGAAATGTAAGTTATAGAGATGTAGCAGGAGTCATACATATAACAGGCAGGGTGACTAGAAAGAGAAACGTTTGATCATATGCCCGCCAGGTACAAAGATAAGGACGAATGGGAGCTTATGATGACGCAGTAATAGCGGCGAGATGATAGTAGCCCGTATTGAACTGATACTTGGCTGTTGCCATCTTCTTTCGAGTACTCGTCCTTTCCACCCAATGCTTGAACACACTTGTGGTAACCTTGACTTTTCGAACATTATCAATGAACATCTGGGTTGTCTATACTCTGGACTTCCACGTTATCAAGTATGAGCCATAAGAGAGTACCGAGTCGCATATTTGGTAAGGCTTGTCGACTGTGCAAATGCCAGTCTACTTTGGGGCAGGACTTCAATATGAAGCCTAGGCAAGTCCACTTCTGAAATTCTTCGCTGATATCTTGCCTGTTCTGTATCACCTCTGCTATTAGCGCCATAGCTTTGAGTTGGTATACTCTGAACCACCGTCAGAAGCACCCCCATAACGATCCTTTTCAAAATTTAACGATTCTCGCGTGGTCCCTTTGACTTACGGGCTCATCTGGCGCATCCTGCGAAGTAGCTTCCCCATATTACAATTAAATCCCGAGTCTAATAAATTACAGGCCTTAACACTTCACGTTCACGTTCACGTTCGCGCTCTCCGCCTCGCTCGTCCATCGTCACATTCGCGTCGGTTGCTTCCCTCTTTCTCGCCACGCGAACTTCTCTCGCGCTCGCGGTGTCGGCTGGACTTGCTATCACGGCCATCTCGTCGGCTGGCACAACCTTCGTTGCGCTCATCTTGAGAGCCTACTATCCCGATCGATAATAATGGGAAGATCGAGCAGACAAGTGCACTAGAATTCATGGCGCCCGAGGTCTTGAAAGGCGGGTTTGATAAGGCGACACACGACCTGGAGGGAAGTCTCCGGCGGTCAATCCAGTAAGCGCGTGGTACACAGGTAATAA